CCCCAAAACCCCAAAACCCCAAAACCCCGTCAGGATAATTATATAATAAAGAGTAATATTATAATTAAGATTAATAAAGTCAATTTCAATTACAAAGGTCGTCTAAGTTAGCACATTAAGATATATCTGGCATCAATTCATCATTATTATTATTTTGCTGTAAAAGATTATGAATTTAAGAAGGCATAGCACTTGATGTGCTGGAATATTAACTATCAAATTCCCTGATAGCTTTAATATCTATATCTCTTCCTTGACTTTAATCCTAGGTTTCTCTATAATATCTATCTTATTCTGAGTTTTATTTATTTTCTTTTTTTCCTGGGCTTAATTATTCGAAATAATGCCTATCTTCCTCTTCATACAACTAAGGTTCATCACTATCCCTCATTCCTCCGGCATTTTCATCATATTGGAAATCATAGCACATGGCCTTAAACTTCTAAGTTTTCCTATCATATAAATGAATTCGATTCTCCCCAAAAGCTATTATTTCATCCTCTGCAATAAAAACTTAATTTGTCAAGATTTTATCTATATCTCCTGAATAAATTGAGACTCGACTGATATCTTTTTTAAAATCGTCAAATAAGAAACATTATCTAAGAGTATTGTATGTTCCTCCGAAGAGTAATACTATGTATTTGGCATCATTTTATTTTCTATAAGGCAGCATTCCAAACTAAATCAAATCCTTTGGCCTATTATCTGTTTTAATTTCTATTCTTTTCCATTATGCTAAAGTTAATAAATCTATAGTGAATATCTCACCTTAGCTTCTAGACTTAGAACAATGAAATAGATAAAGTTCTCTATCATTTACAACTATTGTCTTTAGATCATTGCTATTAGTTACTTGAAATCCTAATTTATCGAAAATTATCTTCATTTTATTAGAAAAATCATATAAGATACTCTTAGTATTTACTAAAAGTATATATAGCCTAGTTTTGTGGCCAAAGCAGACTGGCTTAATTTTTTTATGGTCTGTTTCTTCAAAGATAAGATTAAGATTTCCACTTTCTCTGATGTACTCATATATTATAAGCTTTTAAGACTTTGTTGCTATTACAATTCTCTCAATTAAAAATACTCTATCTGAAAAATTAACAACTTATAGAAAGTTTTTCCCATTTTACTCTAGATTAAGGGCATTTAGCAGTACTTTCTTTTTCACGTCAAAGAAGCAAAATGTTTTAGTCTCACCTGACATTTTATTTTCATGAGTATCTATCATAATCACATTTGGGTCAGAGAGATATTGCATAGCTTCCAACAACTCAATTTAGTTTTCCTATACTGAATTGAAAGATTAAAAGTTATTAGCATCATTATATAGTTTTCTAGCAAGTGCCTATTTCTCAGCACGCTCTTAACTTGATACAATTTGCCTTAGTGAAAATTAATCTTCGCTATTAAATTCATTGCCTCTGTTTTGCTCTTGTACCAAAATATCAGCTATAGAATCCCCTTCTAATCTCTAAGTCTCTAAATGATTTGGTCCTCTAGCTTATGACTATTCATGATTTAATACAAAATATTACCCAAAAAGAGATTTTTTATTTTTACTAGCTTCCTTCTCAATTTCAGCTTGATTTGTGTTATTTTTAATATCTTCATAATTATATTAATCTGGATTTTTTTTCTTTTTTTTTGCATTAAGTTTTTATTATTCTGGATTTAGTAGATCATCTAGAGTAATTGATTATGTTCCATGAGGGTTTCGTTAAGTTTAAGACGAATATGAATGATAGTCATCATACTCATCTTCTTTATTATTATTGATAAAATCTCTTTTTCTTTTTTTCAATTTTTACTATTGAACGGCTGCCTAAGATTTTTGAAACAATGATTAAGATTATAATTGAGTTTATTACTGCTATTATTATTTTTGAGTTTATTGTTGAGTTTACTGTTATGTTTCCCCATATGTAAAATAATCATTACACTCCTCTTGCTGTTCATTGCACTATTCTTCTACTAATGACTCTTACTATTAAATATGGGAAGTCAGACTAGCTTACAATTAATCTAAAATTGATCCTTTTATAATACCAGTAGTTGGAGTTTTATTATCATTAGGTGCAATGCTACTGCCATTTTCATTATTGAAGTTAACTTAATTGGAGGAGCTATCATTTTCATTTTCTAAATCTGGATCAATGTCTGAGCTGCTTTCTTCTTCAACAGTATTCCTATGATTTTCAATTCTTTTCACATCAAAATTTAAAAGACTTTAGTTTGAACTCGATTCCTCATTTGGTCTGGGTGGGGGTATAGATATCATTCCGGTCTGTTTAGATTTAGGTCTTCCTCGCCCACTTCTCTTCTCACTAGAAGTTACTGGAAGCCCCATTACTTCACAAAAATATGCTTCAAGTCTCTATTTACTCTTTTTCTCTAATTATGCTAAATACTCTGAGAATCTAGTTTTTATTGCCTTTGGACTGTCTAAAGTATACATATTAATTTTGTGAATTTCAATTGTTCCAGGTATCCTAAGATTATCTTGAAAAACTTAAAAGACAGAGCGATTATTAGTAATTGAATGAGCCTCAACTAGAGTTTATAATGCTTGAAATTCATCACTAAATCTTTCGATTTTCCCCATTTCATGTAAGCATTTAGTGTGCAGCTTTTCCTCAATTCTCCTTCTTATTTCTCCATATTTTTTGTCACATTCAGCAAGAAATGAAGTAGTCTTTATGCCTGTAAATGAACAAAAGTCCTCCTTAATGTTCTTTTTAATTTCAAATTCATCTCTTATTCACTAAAAATTTATCTTCATTTCTTCAATATCTGAGAGTACTTATCTTTTAATTTGATCCTAATCTCTTTTAAAAAAGACCTCCCTTAAACACTATTAGCACGATCTTGAGAAGTCAGGATTCTATATCTTCAAGTAAGGCTGTAGATGCTTAAGACATCTATCTTTATATATTTTATTTTGATTATCTTAGTTTATGTTAGGATTCATTGATCACATTGAAGGCTAAAAGGAATTTCCAGATTATTACTATTGTAGTAGAATATTTAGGATTGTATTACTATTGCTACTCTATTGATTTTAATTTGAAAAATCCTCATATGATTGGTGAGTTTGATTATTTCCACTATTGTGAGAATTGACTGAAGATTGCTCACTCTAATAGGCATGATAAGAAAATGAAGTCATAGTTTATAAAGAAATTATGCTTGCAAATATATTGTGT